TATTAAAAAATATTCATATTAAATATATTTTATACTTATAAATTTTAATAAATTCATTCTTATTTTAAATTTCAAAATTTCTATCTTATTTAAAATTATTTTTATTTTTATTTTGTAAAAAAATATATAAAAATTACGTGTTAAACTATTTATTAATACAAATTAAAAATATAAATAATATGTACATATATAATATGCTTGCAATTGATATCACAAAATAATATATGTAATATCTACATAGATATTATATTATTAAATATATAATTTAAAATTACTAATATACTATAAAAGTTATTTAAGTTGTATATATTATAAACAAATACAATAGAACAAGTAGTTATTGTTATATTTAATAAGAATATTTATTCTTCCATTAATAGATTCAATTTTCATTATTATTTTTGTGGTTTATGGTCCCTTAAATTTTTTTTTAAAAAAATAAGAAAAAAAAAGTGGTTGAACCGGTTTGACCCACTGGTTCACCGGTTGAACCGGAAAATTGACCGGTTCAATCCAATTTGAAATGGGTTGATTGCATAACCGATCCAACTTAAGATTCGGACCGACTGGACCACCGGTTCCCAGTCTAACCGGCCGGTTCGATCCGAGTTTTTAAACAATGTATATAAATGTATATGTATATGTATTTATATCTATGTATATGCATGTATATATATATTTTTTTTAAAATGATAGATGTGTATCAACATCACTATGTGGAAGAGGATCATAACTACCTCAACACCCCACTCCGTAACAATCATATGCTACACATCATAAGTGCTAGAATTAAAAGACATAGAAATACAAGCAAGGGACCAAGCCAAACCCACAACCAAAATAAAAAGCAACAGGAACTAAAAAAGAACAATACAATCATACTACTAAACAACTAAGCCAAAAGCCTAAGCTAAAAGAAAGAAAGAAAACAATTGTAGCTACATATAGAAACAAATGTAGTTGACACATCTCTTAGGACAGCGCATAGAAGTCGCAACATCAAAAAGTATCCAATCAGCAACAATTTTAGAACATCCACAACTTCCAACAAAAGCCAATAAAGCAACCAGCTCAAAAACCAAGTCAACTTGCTAGTATGAAACTTGATTCAGCCATAGAGCACCAAACCAAGAGCATCCAAAAAAGACAGCTATAAGTAAAGCTACCCAGCCACACTCGATCAGAAAAATCAAGTGTAATCGGAAGAATCAAACCAGCCAAAGAACCAAAGACCAAAATCCCCAATTCAAGAGAACTTAGGGGGCCTAGTCACTTTAGATCTAGTTCTAGGTCTAGGAGTCAAAGTTACTTTGCGCTTTTGATTTTTAGGCCTCTAAGAAGATTGTGCCACCTCAATCCAAACAAAATTGCTTTTAGTAAGGATGTTGAAATCCTGTGGAATCGAAGGAGCAAATTTAGATAAATCTTGGTGCACCATGGAAGTGACCATAGAATTATTAGACTCAAGGGTCTTAGAGGAAATCGGTTCAACTATATATAGTGTTAGAACCAGCTTCAACTCTCCTCTTCTTGGTTATCCTCGGCCATCCATGCTTAGGCAAGGTGGACAAGGTTTCTTGTCCTTGGACTTGTCTTGCCAATCTTTCCCCACTGGCTACTTTTAAGCCATCTTTTAAACCTTCATTTGCAAATGTAGTGTCTTCTTCTTTGATCGCTACATGTCTGTCCTCTTTTCCTAAGCCTTGCTGGAAGGGAGATGCTCTTGCCATTAAGATTTTAGAAGATGCTTATCAAAAGGAACTTGCCCGTTGTTCCAAGCATCTCCATGGAAAGGTTTTGTTATCTAAGGGCCAAAAGCCTTTTTGTATTGAAGACTTGAGGAAAAAATTGTCTCAAGTTTAGAGCCATATTGCTAGCTAGCATGTCATCTCCATTGGAAAAGGTTTCTTTGAATTTGAATTTTAGAATTATGCCAATCTTGGAACAATTCTTGCTGCTGGACTTTGGAATTTGGAGCCTGGCTTCATCTTTCCCTTTGGATACCTGATTTTATTATAAGATTCCACAAGAATTCTCATATTCAAGTCTGGTTACAGATCTTAGACTTACCACAAGAATATTGGAATTCAAGAATCATTTTTGTCATTGCTTCGGGTGTTGGAATTCTGATTGCAATTGACCAAGCAACCCTACAACGTTCTTATGGACACTTTTCCCGTGTCTTGGTGGAGACTAATCTTGAAGACATTAAACTGAACTAGCTTCTTGTTGAAAGGGAAGGTTTTGCTTTTTATGTTTCTTTGTTCTTTGAAAGAATTCCTTAATATTGCTTATCTTGTTATAGAATTGGTCACTCTAGTTCTTTATGCAAAGTTAATTCTCTCGATGGTGATGCTGGCAGGAAATCTGCTTGTGACTCGAGATGACTTTCTAAAGTTGTTCATCCTGGCAGGTCTCCAGAGCCTGCTCCTCACTCCTGCATGGATTTTCTAGTTGCGACTAAGATTGGTGTGCGGACGTGGTTGTTGCTACCTCTTCTCCAGTCAATCTTGGTGTTGCAAACACTAGTCTTGATGTGTCTTTACATCATGAACCATCAAATGTTGTGATCTGGAAAGCTATGCCAGCCACATGCCAGCACATGA